ATTAAGGCAAATGTCTGCCATAACAAAACTAAAAATGACTTGGATATTATAAGCACATATATTTCATCCTTAGAAATCCTATGTTGTTTACTGTAGAAAGATATTTCTTGTTTAGGCTGTGTTAAAATTAGTTACAAAATGTTTACAGCAATTTTCTGACAGCAACTTGTGATTTTTTTGAACATGCTACTTCAGGAAAGCTGCTTTTAGTTAAAATATAAAAATGGTAGTTACAAGGTTTCTGCAAACATAACTGCCATTCCATTAAGGAAATGGCACTGCAAACAGTAAATAGTGGCCCCAAGGGAAATGTAAGTATTGATTTTATTACTGTGTTGGTTGGTTTGTATTTGCAATTGTCAACTCTAATTTTAGGCTGTGCATTAAGTATCCTTATAATAGCTTTAGGAAAAGAGCAAATATTAATTAGAAAATATTGATAATGTTTTTATAAGTATTAGATTTAGTGTGTATAGTGCATACATTTTGAAAATATTAAACCAACTTTTTGGTTGTATATATACCTAATAAATGAACAGACAGGAAAATTGAATTATGTGGATTACATGATACTTTTGTTCATTGAGCCAGGTACTGTGTGCAATTATTTTTTTATTAAAATTAAGATGAAGTACAGGGCTATTTATCATTATGTAGCTAACAAAGTATTTCTGAAATGAGGTGAAGTTACTCACTTATTTACTGTAAAGTATGCAATGACTCATACACACAAATATTAGGGTGCTGATCCTGCCATTTACTCAGCATCAACAGAGTTCTGTGTGGGTGCAGAGATCTGCCAGATACAGTAAGTTGCAGGACTGGGGGGTTATTTTGGAGACTGGTGCTTACAATAATTCAGGCACTAATCTTTATCCTCTAAAAAAATTGTGTGCGCTTCTGTAATTCAGTAAGCCGAATGATAATGTATTGCCATTTGTTTCCACAATAGTGCCCACAGGTACTGTGCAAATATAAAGAAAAGCTTGTTCTCTCTCCATCTGAAAAAAACCAACAGACAGCAGGACAGACTGGTTTTATAACTATAATATATAAAAAAAACCTTATCAGTTTAGAAGTAAAATAGGAAAACAAAGTATTGTGGTGATAAATTCAGAACCATAGAATCACAGAAAAATAGGCTTAGAAGATCACCTAATCCAAACTAAAGGTAGGATCATCGCTGTCTAAATCATTCCAGTCAAATGTTTGTCTATCCAGTTGCTCTTAAAAACATCCAAGGATCTACAACTTTTCTGCGTAATCCATTCTAATGAAAGTTCCAATTGGTATCCGACCTAAATATCCCTTATTTTAAGACTATTAAACAATATAAAAGTATTATTCACGAAATAAAGAGTTTCTTAGCTACATGTACTTTATATTTTAGTGTATATTATAGTGTAGGAACAACATGCTCACACTTACAACTGATGCGGTTGGTACTTATTAAAACTGTCTGAGAAAATGCTTGTTTAATGTGTTAAATTTTCATAGTTAATTTAAAATTATTTTGCTGCAGTGTTTTCAACTCTTGCAATTTTATTATGTTATAGGTGCTGTTTTTCTTCAGCCAGCTCCTTGTGTCATGCAATTATGTGAAAATCGCAGCTTCTCAGCATATGTGCAAAAACGATGTTTCTGGCTATCATGGTTGCGAAGAGCTTGAAAACATGAATATTAAGGCCTTAAAACTACAAGGCAATTGAAAAGAGTATTTTTAACTATTTCAAATCACATGACTGCTTGAAGCACAAACCATGGTCTTGAGCTGACACTTCTGCACAAATAACTCCTAAGAATGATCTCTGAAAAAATCTTTAGATTGGCAAATGAATACTAAAGAAAATGTCAGGGCCAGGGACAGTTTATACATAAACTGGTATAAATTATCAGAAAGTGGTTCAAATATGTAACACAACAGAAGTTCAGTGCACATGAACCACTTTCAATATGGCCAAAACCAGTTTAAGATACACCTGGATGGATGTAACATCAGACTGAATGGATTTAAGTTAAATCAGTTGATTGAACTTCTGTCCCAGATCCCCTAAAGATTCAAGTTAACTTACAGTCCCCCAACATCCCAGGATGCTTTCCATCTGCCCTGAAACCCCCATCTTAGGGTGCGAGGGCTAGCCTCAGCCCAGTCTGTCAGCTCCAGCCAAGCAGAAAGGCATGTTCTAACACCTCCAGCTTCTGCCCTGAGACACTGCAGGCATGTGGCTACATTTCTGAAATCAAAAGTTAATGTCTGTAAACTTGTTTACTGGTTCAGTCTATGCAGTGTAGACTAACCTGCAAAGTTTTGGTCGATTCAGCCTTGGGCTTTTTGACTGTCTGTACTTAGCCCATAACCTATATTCAAACTGAAATACATGTCACCTTTTGGGGCATGTAAATTCAGATAGGCTGCAGAGTTGTGTAATCTAGCTGAGGAAAAAGGTTGCTCTACTACATATCAGCTCCCTGGAGCAGAAAGAGACTTATTAATTGCTCAAAGAATCTCTGGTAAAAGCCTATAAAGTCATTTAAATAGGCTTATAGGCTGCAGCTACATCTCACATCATTACAATATTCTGGGCCAGACTCTCTTTGTTCAAGAGTCTTATACATGCCACAGGCATCCCAAAAACATAAAATGACTGGGGGCACTAATACTATTATGTCCATCCAGTGCTTGTTCTCTTGATCTCAACTAGGGCTGTTCAACTTCTGAGCAACTGGGAACCTCTAGCTCCCTAGCTGCACTGTCTCTCCAGGCTGCATGCCACATGGGCACCCCCCCCGCCCCCCACTGCACTGTGCCAATGCTGTTACATATCCCACACATTGTTGCATGTTTCCTTATACTATACCTATGTCCTACCACACCATACCACATGGGTTTCCCCACCTCCCCACCATGCCACTCCAGGGTGCCTGTCCCATGCTAGATCCCCCCAGATTGCCTGGCCATGGCTCCCACAGGCAACTCATGGGCCAACAATTAGACACCCCTGATTTTAACTTTTACCATGGACTTACTATGACAGTATCTAAAGACATGAGTAACTGCTAATTAAATTGTGGCTTTACCATAAAACTTTGTTAAGCAATAGCACATAGAACATAATTGTATTGCCCAGGACCCCAAAGGAGTCAGACCACAGATTCTTCTTTTAACTCCCAGTAAATGAATAGCAAAAATTACTTCCTCCTCTGTACCAATTTATATTGGTTGGGGGGAGGGAGGGGTTGGAGAGGTTAGCCAAGGCTTACTACATAGGAAGAGATGAATGGCCCTGCAACAGCTCTCCTCTACCCCAGCACTGCAACTTGCTATATTGGGTAACCTGCATAGCCAAACAATGAGATATATGACATAGTTCATAATCGTGCTCAGGTAAAATTGTTTCTTACCCTGATCACAAGGAGAAATAAGGGTTTCCCTTGTTCAACATCATCTTCTGTTTTGTGTTCTTACCTCTTCTCCCAGCCATGGTCTATTCCATAGCTAACTTAGCAAGAAGGTTGATTTCAGAAAGGCTGCAAGCCTACTCTATGTTTTGCACCCAAAAGACTGGAACAGGCCAACCAAAACTATAGACCTTATAGGCTGCAAGGTCAAGCTTTCTCTGGCAGAGCCTGAAGGTGAGGATTATGAGCAGGGATTCTGGTTTTCTCTAATAACAAAATTCCCCATTTTCTGATAAAAAAAATAACCCAGAATCCACATTTTTCTGTGATCAAAATAAAACATAACTGTATGTGTATATAGTGATGTTTTATTTTGATCACAGAAAAATGTGGACTTTTTGAATATTTATATAAGTTGTGTTTCATTTTAATCATGGAAAAATGTGGATTTTGGGTTACTTTTTTAAATCCAAAAATTGGGGATTTTTTTATCAGAGAAAACCAGGATCCCTGATTATAAGCAAGTTCAAGGCAAGAACTTCACATAGAAGGATGGGATGGAACACACCCATCATTTTCACATGTATACTTTCTCATGGGGACAATGCACAGGGTGCATGGCTTTCACTATGTTCCTTCTTTAACTTAATTCATACTAGATACTCAGGTTTGAGAGAGATTAGCCACCTGTATCCTCATTATATAAATGTAGTACAACCTTAAATTAGAAGTATGAAGAGCAATTAAGGTGGCTTCCTACTTCTCTGGAGTTATGAGTTCAGACCCAGTTATTAAATGGAACCTAGTCATTCAGACTAGGCAGCCAATGTATGCTAGCCACATCATTCTTTTGCACACTGTTCATTATAGAAGCTGGGATGCTTTCACTGTGCAAGTCTGGGGGGCCATTAGTCTCAAGTGGACTTTTGACTTTGGCAAGAATTTACACATAAACAATTAATTCCAAGGCCTGGAATCACATAATAAAGGAAGACACAAACTTCTATAATACCAGAAGATACAGAGGTTCTGCAAAAGAACCTTTTTAGTAATAGTAATACAGAAAATACAGTTTTATAACATTTTGTAAATCAGAAGTGAATTTGAATTTACTTTATTTTACTTATTTTCTGGAGGTATTAATTTTGAAGTATATGCATTCATCTCAATGTATGTGTTATCAGAATATTTTTTATTCAGTTTCATCACCCTCCAGATAGGCAATTCAATATGAGAGAGATACAGTTGATGCACCACAATTATTTCATAGATCCAAAGCAGATTTCAAATAAAATAAAACAACATTCTGTCAGTTAACTTTTGTAATTGAGTGTCCAGTCAAACTTGGGCACAGACAAACTTGTCTAAGCTCATTGGTACTGATTGTTCAAGATCAGTACATTGACAGGCTTGAAAAAAATAGATCACAAAAGGAAAGCAAGTCACTCAACTGATGAACCTCTTCACACATTGAGCAGGGAAAAGTAGATAGCACTATATACCCAGTGTTTAAGCAATAATACCATATTTACTCAAATACAAGATGAGGTTATTTTCCCCAAACAGCATGGGGGAAAAAGCTCCTCATTTTATATTTGCATACAAGGAAACCTCATTAAATACAGTGTCAATCATTAAACTGCTGCCAAAAGCAGCATGTGTTTAGTAATGGCAACCAACTATGAAGCTTATTAAATACAGCCGACACTCAGCATGACTATAAAACACATGGAACATGCTGGGCAAACAGGCTGATGGGAACCCTACTTTTTTTTGCGTGGTCTTAAAAAAAAATGAGTGGGTGTTTCTTCCACAAGGAACTGGGCCTGGAGGTACTGCAATACCAGGTTGGCACCAGGAAGACAGCAGCCAGCCCTAACACCCTCCCCTTCGTGCCAAAAATGTTACATTTGATATTAGCCAAAAAGGCTGACATGTTGATGGGGACCTTTTTATTATTATTACAAAACAACTAAAAGAAACTACATTAACACCACACTTGACAACTTCTACTACAACAATACCTTGTTCTTCTTACACTCCTTTTACCATTAACACACTAGCCTCTCATGGACTACTGTCAGCCCAGGAGCAAACAACAACTTTCACTCCATACCTTTGTCCTTTTGGAAGAAACACCACCATTCTTTCTTTCATCACTTCTTTGCCTTCTCCTTCCCCATCTTTTCCACATCTTGATCTACATAGTATTTCAATTCCTATATTGCCAAAGCCAAACATTCTCTTCTACTGAAAGCCAGTCCCTTGACCAACAGTAGCTTTCTCACCTTCTATATTGCTACTGTCACACAAATCAGTATGTTTCTCATTCTTTCTGTCTCCAGGCCTTTGGGCATTAGACCATACAACACTATTTCATATATCATGGTTCATACTGATTGCTCTCAAAAAACAGCGCACCCCCTCCCATATCCCTTGTACAAATGAGCAGTCCCAGAATACACACAACGCAGATTTTTCAGCCCCACAGCCCTCTCTCAGGTATGTCACCAATCTTATCAAATCCCATGTATGCTGAATGCTCCTTATAGGAAGAATATTATGTATAATCGTTCATTAGATATCTATATGTTCTGCTTTCAGCCTATTATCTGTCACTTCTTTCCACATATTTGCCATCTATCTTTCCATCAGATCCCCAACTATTATCTTATCTTTCTTTCTTATCATATTAATCACCTTCTTACAATCTTTCAAACGCTCAAATCCCACACCCTCAAGTTTATTTACCTATACAAAGCTCTCCATCTTTGCATAGTGGGCCGGTGGCTGTCACACCCACAACTTTTTTCAATCTCCCCTGTATACGCTCCATCATCTTAACATTCTTCCTGCCAGATAATGGCAGAAACATGCAGTCTTCCCCACCCGCTCTGTTGTCTCTTTACAGAATATATTTATAAAGTATACACAAAGCTTCCCAAATCTGGCATTCCCCAGCCTCCTAATTCCCCTGGCTTTGTATGGCTCCATTCTGACTACCCTTTCTCTTGTACTAGCCCTACAAAAATGTGTACCTGTCTCTGTGCCCTTCTTATCTGTTGCCATGACAGTGGATACACCACTTCGATGTAAAGGATGATTGTCAAGAGTATCATTCTCACTGCAGCCACCTTACCCTTGAAAGATAACGTTCTACCACTCCAATCTTCCACTCCACAACCACATGATCTGTTTCATTCTTATCTCTAACTTCTCCCATGCCTTTGTTCCTTCCCCTTTGGCATCCATTGGGATTCCCAAGATTTTGATTACACCCTCAACCACCCATAGATTGAAGTGCTATAAATTCTCCCAGCTCCACATACCCATCAATTCACTTTTCATCTTATTTAATTTTGCCTCTGACACTTCACTGTAGTCCTCAGTACACCTCAATATCCTCTCAATTGATACATTGTCCTGAGCCACTATGTTCACGTCATCCATGTATAATGTACATATAACTTCTCCTCCTCCTGGTATCTTCACAACACTTACCAGCTTAACATCACAATTTCTCTGTGCCAATGGTTCCATCACACAAACAAAAAGACAGGGGGACAGTGGGCATCCCTGTCTTACCTGTGTTTATATGGGGAATCCTTTGCTCAAGTAACCATTTACCAGTACTCAACTTCCAGCTTTACTGTATAGCACTTTGACCCATCTGATTATCTTCACCAGAAACCCCAATACTTCAAGCATGAAAACATATTCAACCTTATCATATGCTTTTCCCAGGTTTACATGCATTATTACCATATTTCATTTACTCTCTTACACATCTGACATGACATCTCTCATTAACCATAGGGTCTAGGATATCCTTCTCTCAGGAATGGCACAAGTTTGTTCTTCTTGTATCACATCTGCTAAACAGCCACCATCCTTCTCCCTTTTCCACCCAAGGTGATCTGGTCAGAATGATTTTCTCATGTGTTTTTCTTTTGAATCATTCTTCAGTCTATCGCTTTATGTCTTCCAGTTCTTCTTTCACTCGTACTCCTCTTGCCACCTCCTTTAATGATTCCTGTTTCCTTGCCTACAATTCTTTTAGTTCTTCCACCCTCTTCTATGCTTCTCTTCAACCAATATTTTGGAAAAATTCACTTGTTCTTCAGTGATCACTGAAAGTCACATCTAAGATATCTCCTCCTTTCCAATCCCTAGCCCATTTTATGTTAATACAAAATCAGTCCTCACCACCTGTCTTCTATTTGGCTCCATCCATGTAATCACCTTCTCACCAGCCAATACACATTTTAAACTACCTTCTTTTATTATATTAATCAGTACTTTTGATGAGCTGTCTAGCTCTAACTTCCTTCATCCTCTTTCCTATCCCCCTCCTCAATAATGCAATCAAAATCCAACAAATTTCTGCCTACTTCCACTTACATACACCTCTAATTTCTTAAACAGGGTGATCCTTCCTTCTCTTTCAGCCAGCACATACATACTAAAAATCTCTAAAACTCTTTGTTTTCAAACTCCACCACCATCCATTGCAGTCTCCCTTCCACAATCACTGTACTTGCCGCACTTCCACTTCCTCACTCTTGAGCAAACATTTGACTCTTGCTGCTTTATTTAAGTCTGACCTCACCCACCATGATGCTCCCCCTCTCCATTTCTTTACAAAGTGCTTGTAACACCTCCCCAATGGGATTCCACACTCCTGTAAACTTATTATGTTCATATTTATTCTACGCAATATTGGTGTAATCTTATCCCACCTCTTGCTTGAGAACACACTTTTGACATTTATAGATGCAATACATAAAATCATGTTTGTCCATTTACATTTCACATCTCTACCATTTTACAAGTCTTCTAGGCTGCTGCTTGATGATGTCAGCTCTAATTCTCTCCCTTTTCATATACTCATAAGTCTTTCCTAGATGTTTTATTGCCATAACATTTAAGAAAGGTTCCACTTTCCACTCTACCCCACCTTTCCACTTCCATACCTCCTCTTTTCCCTCTCCATTAGTCCCAGGCCACATTTGCTCCTATGAGCTTTTTGTCATCCCATCACACCCCGCCCCCACCCACCTTCTTTGTCTGCCTTCTTCTTTCTAAGCTTCACAGTGTGTGATTTCTTCCTTTTCCCAATTTGGCTCTCTTCTTTCTCCTGCTCTATCCTCACTCTTTCTTCTCTATCATTCTCACCTCTTTCCCTCCTCTGTGTTATATCACTTGTTCCACTTATCTTTCCTTCTTTTCCCTCCTGTTACCAATTGTGCTGCTTTAACTACTGAAATTTCACGCTCTTCCTCCCTGGCTCTTCCTCATTGGCAACACGTAGGGGGTGCACGCCGGCAGCGTCTGCGGGTGGTCCCCAATTGCCACTGACTGCCACCAGCAGCAGCAGCTGCAGGTGGTCGCCGACCACGGGTCAGTGCTTAACCCCCCCCCACCAACAGCTCACCATTTGCCACCTCCATGCTCCCACCACCAACAGCACCGCTGCCACCTGCAGGAGCTTGCCATGTTGCCCCTCCCTCCCACCAGCTTCCAGGGGCAGCTGGTGTTCATGCTCTGCCTTCTTGTGGTGTCTCCTCCAGACATGCATTGCAATTCAACGTCTTCTTCCCCACTTTCCCTTTCTTGTCTTTGTAGATCTAACTATGTGAGAATGACCATGGGCATTACCACTATAAGTGTCCCTCTTCCCTGCAAATACACAACAGTATTTCCAGGCACACTGCCACCCTGTGCCCTTTCCTTTCACTTCTGTTGCAAATTGTATACCAGCAGCATGCAGGCATATGTCCTTCCTGCCCTCAATTACTACAGAGTTTAGACTGTCCAAAATCAATTGTACACTGTTGGAGTCGCCCTATGTGGATTACTGGCAGTAAGTGCATTATCTCACCAGGACTCCTCTCATCTGCTCTCATTACCACTCGAGTTCTCCATGATCCCATCCATATACCATATTTATTGCATATCTTCTCAACGTACAAACTTTTTGTACATAATTCTATAACGATTTTTCTATAACCCCCAGCTCAAGCATGTTCATGTCCATTCAAATAATTACTGTCCTTTCTCTTGCCTTTTGTCCCTCAATAAAATGTCTTACCTCAATCCTAGGGAAACTCTTTGAGAAGATCCTCAAGGAGCACATCTGTGATGGGCCGGCTTCAGGGATGATGCTCAAGGGTAACCAGCACGGTTTCATTAGGGGCAGGTCATGTCAGACCAACCTGATTGCCTTTTATGATCAGGTCACAAAGGCAATGGATGCAGGTGTCGCC